ATATATATATATATATATATATATATATATATATATATATATATATATATATATATATATATATATATATATATATATATGGGGGGATCACAACCTGAGAGGACAGGCGGGGGAAGTCGGTGGAGCGACGACGCGAGGAAGCGATCACAAATTGAGGAGCGGGAAAGGGGGGCGGGGTGGAGTGACAACGCGGGGAAGCCTTCACAAACTGAGGAGCGATCACAAACTGACTATGAAAGCGGCGAGAGCATCAAAGTAGAAGGAAGTCATTCATTTTCAATGAGAAACGGCGGCAAGGAGCAGCGCGCCGCCTCTTCTCTGGTGTGGGCGTTGAGGAGAATTGAAATCAAGTCAACTTTATGGTAATGAGCTATGACGTGGTTCGGCAGCAACCAATTAGAATGAATTAGTTCACCGCTTGAGAGGAGTTCAGAGAGAGAACACAGACATGTGAACTTTGGTTCCGACCACAGTTGTTCCCAGGGGTTTGATTATTGCGGTTGCCGAATTTTCAATTAATGAAAATCGCCACGACGCGGGGCCCCCTAACCACAAGGTGAAATGAAAATAAATTACTTTATTAATTTCTATTCATTTGAAGATACACAAGAAAGAAACTGCACTTCAAATAAAAAATTTGCAACCCAATTTAAAATAAAATTACTGTATAATTTACACTTAGCTAAATAACATGAAAAAACATGAAATGTTGCATCATATTATATTGTTAAATTATTATACTGTTGCTTTTTTATTCAATTTTATGTCATATTTTGACACTTGTTATTCAGCAATCTTTAAACTTTACAGGGATTTTATTTTTTAGATAAGATGGCAAAGATTATTGCTCAATTGATACTTGCTTTATTGTCCTTTGATTGTCATTTGTACGGGATTTATAAAGCATAAATAGTCCTCACTTTAGATTAGGTCACAAAACTGCATGAAGTTAAGTTAATAAAGCATTTATTATGATGCATTACTATATGTCTGAATAATAAGATAAAAAAATGTGGATTTCACTAGTTTATTCATCATTTACTAACTCGTTCTGAATCATCTTAAAAACCATTAAATACAACTGGTTTGTAAATAATGCGATACTTCATTTAGTAACCTGAGAGAAAGAGTGGGAGGGAGAGAAAACAGGGCCCAAAAGAGCCAAAGCAAGAGCCAGAGCAACAGTTAGAATGTTTTTATATCTCTTCCTTGACCATGTGTCCAAAACCCAAACCTGAGCCATTCAAACTGACCAATACGCAGGATAGAGCTCTCCCAAAGTGTGTCAAGCTTGCAGTAAAGCAAGTTGCTGTTTAAAAATATTTAGTATGGTTATCTGAATGGACTATCTTGACAATGAATGGACCATTATTCTTGAGTTCACAGTGGGGGTGACATCCTACATCATTCTGTAGTTAAACATGCCACCTCTGACAACTGTGTCAACAACTTCATTTCTAAGGGTCACATATGAAAATGTATAAAATACAACCTGTCACTGCCATATTCAGATGACTGCAGTACAACCAGCAAGATCTCAATAAAGAATCCTGATTGAAGAAGCCCAAAGTCACTTGGTTTTGCTTCTGAGTTTCCCACAGCACTTACTATGCAATGTTAATAGGTTGACATACAGGTGTAAAAAGTCCAGGCAAGGGTTAAGAAAAAAAAAGACACATCAAAGTCCAATGCTTTGGATTATCCCTTTTGTTGTCATTGCGCCTGTTGACCCTTGCCTGCGCGACCATCCCTTGTTTAATCAAACTGAGTTTGTAGCTTACTCTGTTGCCTGCACTCATTACAACAGATATAAAACTCAACCCATATGAGTTTGAGAATAGAAATTCAAGCAATTTTGAATTAGTAATGATGACCTGCAGTTGGATGGGGCAACCATTACTGCATCCAAAATGGTGAAAAGCCTTGGAGTAACGATTGATGACCAACTAAACTTCTCTGACCACATTTCTAGAACTGCTCGATCGTGCAGATTTGCACTCTATAACATCAGAAAGATCCGACCCTTCTTATCTGAACATGCAGCTCAACTCCTTGTTCAAGCTCTTGTTCTCTCCAAACTGGATTACTGCAACTCTCTACTAGCTGGGCTTCCAGCTAACTCTATCAAGCCTCTTCAACTGCTCCAGAACGCAGCAGCACGAGTTGTCTTCAATGAACCTAAACGAGCACATGTCACTCCGCTGCTAGTCCGTTTGCACTGGCTGCCAGTTGCTGCTCGCATCAAATTCAAAACTCTGATGTTTGCCTACAAAGTGACTTCTGGCCTAGCACCTTCTTATCTGCACTCACTTCTGCAGATCTATGTGCCCTCCAGAAACTTGCGTTCTGTGAATGAACGTCGCCTCGTGGTTCCATCCCAAAGAGGGAAAAAATCACTTTCGCGAACGCTCACGCTCAATCTGCCCAGTTGGTGGAATGAACTCCCTAACTGCATCAGAACAGCAGAGTCACTCGCTATTTTCAAGAAACGACTAAAAACTCAACTATTTAGTCTCCACTTCACTTCCTAATCTGCAATTGCCTCTTTGAATATCACACTAATTGTACAAAAAAAAAAAAAAAAAAAAAAAACTACTAACACTTCCCTTCTTAGACTTTACAGACCTGAAACTTGCCTTTAGTACTTATTCATTGTTGCTCTTAGTTGTGTAAATTGCTTCCTTGTCCTCATTTGTAAGTCGCTTTGGATAAAAGCGTCTGCTAAATGACTAAATGTAAATGTAAATGTAAATGTGTGTATGAGAGTCCAGACAGCTTCAGATTACAGCTTTGGTATGCAATCAGTGTCTAAATAAGTGCAAAAAATAATGGGGACTAATGTCCGGTTGACTGACTGGTTAATAATAATAATAGAGACCATGATGGAAAGAGGCCATGTACAAATTTGCCCAGGATGCTGGGTTTAAACCCTTACTCTTTTTTGAGGGACATCCTGGGATTTTTAATGACCACAGAGAGTCAGGACCTCAGTTTAACGTCTCATCCGAAAGATGGCGCTCACTGAGCAGTATAGAGTCCCTGTCAGCTCTGGAGTTCCCACACAGACCGCAGGTTGTGCACCCCTGCTAGTCTCAATAACACAACTGGTTAAGTGCTTTTGCCACATATGCAGGTGGTAATTACAACATAAACATTACTTTCCATAAAAAGTCACAAATGTCTTTCATTAAGTTACATATATTTACTTAAGCAATATTTATTTATTTACTTATATATTATACTTAAAATGTATCTATGTATATTACACCATCTTCACCAACAGGGAAATTTAATTGATGCTTATGTCTGTTTATACTTCAGCTGGTTTGCCGGTTCCCGTGATCAGAAAATCTCAATGTGTTTTATCCTCATCTTCATCAGTGCAGTATTGTTTACTGATGTGTTCAGTGGTGAATGTGAGTGCTGTGAGTCTCTCCTGGTACAAAGGAAACAGTGTATTGTCCAGCATCAGCACGTCTGATCTCAGCATCAGTCTCTCTCTACCTCTGGAGGTGGAATATCAGGATAACAACACCTACAGCTGTGTGCTCAACGATCCTATTAGCCACCAAATCATTCAACTGGACACCTCTCAGCTTTGCCAAAGAAGTTCGGGTATGTAAGGTGTAATATTAGCATTATTTGGAAACTGATCAATTCCAATATAAACACGTTAACAATTCATTTCTGGCATAATTCAATTCTGTTATTAATGAATTATCCTGATGTCATTTTAAATTCCTGAGAAGACACAAATTAAGATAATGTAGTTTAAACGTGAGAGCTCCATCCTCCTATATAGACCGCAACAGTCCTAAGATGTTTAAAGCCAGAAAAATACCAAAAACTATTTGCAAAACAGACCATATGCCTTCAGTGGTTCAATCAAAATATTATCAATCTATAAGTATCCTTTTGTATGCACATTAAACAAAAATAACTATTAATTTTGCTTTACTTAACAACTTTATTTACTTTATATTTAATTAACAGCTTCCTATTTTTGTGTCCGTATAAGGTGCATGTTTACGGGAACAGTGCTCTTTATGTGTGTTGTGCTTCATTTCAAACAGAAGAAATCATGCCTGGGCATCTGAAGCAGGAGGGGATACATCAGTGGACAGTGCTCGTGAATGTGCATCCTATACTGACACTGAGTAGACAATGTTAAATTAAGTTGCTATTTTTGTTTTATGTTACACAAATGAATTCCCGTAGCATAATTATATTCTGATTGAACCACTAAAGGCATATAGTCTGTTTTGAGGTTGTTTCGTTGATGCTGTTCTTGATTTTTTGGAAGTCAGGACCATTGCTGTTTATTTAGTATGAGGAAGCAAAGTTCTCTCAAATTTCATTTAAGATGTTTTAATTTGTGTCTTTAAGTTTTGGAACGACCAAATAAAATTGTTTTGGGTGAACTAACCAAAAATGATCAACTAACCCTTTACAAACTAACACTTCTCATTTTGTACTTTAGATTGCCAGTGTTGTGGTTCTACAGAAGGTGTAATAAAGTTGGTCATCTCTGCTCTGGTGGGCCTCGCTGCTGCTGCTTTTGTGCTCTATGACATAAGATCCAGAAACGCAGAACAGGAGAGAAGCGAGAAGAAATAATAACGAGACTTCCATTCATACGCATGTGATGACGCAATTCGTGAGACAAGTTAAACAGTTCGCTGCATTGCAAAGTTCAAGCTTGGTGAACTCTGACCAAAGGTCAAAGCATGACCTCCCTGGACAGAAATTTTAAACATGCACCAATCACTCGCCCTTTTTCAATGTCTTATCATCTTGTTTGATCTCACCTGTTTTCACAGTGCCATAGGACGGAATTTCGCAAGCAAAAACTCTAGTGTGTCTGTGGCATGACCCACAGTGTTACAAATTATTATGCAAATTGGATTTAAGTGTCATAAACCTTTCTTTTTGTGTGTGTTTTTAATGAATGTCATGATAGTCATCAGACAGCTGTGATTATTAGTTTGCCAGGTGAGCCTAATTAAAGGAAAACTCACAAGTTTCCCACCACAAGTTTTCAAGAATCGTGAAGATGATATCAATGAAGGGCCCCTATGATAACATGTAACTTGCCCTGTAAGGATGTTTTTGATAGAAATGTCTTAATTCTGCTAATTGTACTAATTAAAACATGTTTTCAAACTCTGCTGTGCATAATAAATTAGAACCTTTATAATCTCTTATAATACTGTGACCATTGGGTGGTTTGTTCAATAAAAGACAAATTATACCCCACTTGATGACTTAAAAATGGTCTGATTATGAAAAGCTGTACCTAGATGAGCTTGTGTTATTAGTTTTAGGTGCTGTTATTTAGGAAGAACATGCCTTGAAATGTTGTGAATGACCAATCAAAAATGAAATATTCCAGACAGCTGTGTAATCTTAATATCACTTCTAGAACATTTGCTGTTGATTTACTCACCTTTATCATATTAAAATGAGTTAATGGTGATTATCAAAAACAAGATATTACAATGAGAGTATGTGTTAATAAATAATACAGATGATAAGGCACAGGTGGAGGGGTAATCAGTGCAATGGGTTTTGGGAAATGGAGTCTGGAAGACTTACAGAGGTAACAGCTTGTGGGCACTCCAGCTGGTGATCATAACAATATCACCATAATGTTCACAGTCTAAAAAGAATCCTTCACATATTCATTCTAAAAATTTTGTTATATTCCTAATTGACGTATCTTGACCTAAATAAAGCAATTGCATTTTAGTCTACTAAATCAAGATTTAAGCCAGTGGAAGTTTTTTTTTCCTTAGGGGGAAATTTGAAAAAGAAAGATCTCCATAGGTCCTTATTGATTTAATCCATGCTTTCAGCTTAAGAAAAATGTGTGGTAAACATCTGGGTTTGTAATTTACTTGCTCAGTCAGATATACCTAGATGTAGGAACCACAGTCTGGTTTGAGATCTGGTTCAAGATCACAGATCTCTGGTTCGAGTTTAACTTTGCATTCTAACCCTGATCAAACTTGCGCTAGACTCACACCACAAGTTGTTAGCATCAGAGCTGGTGAATATATAGCTAGTCATTTATAAGCAAAGTACACAGACACATTCTGTCTACCACATTTGAATTGTACAGTGTTTTTCAGCAGTTAAAAAAGCTTTTAAAATCTTTATTAAAACTTGGACATGTGGATTTGAATTATTAAGGCAATTAAGGCTATATGTTACTTTCCAAAAACTCACTGGTGGAGTGATCTTCCCATTCTCACACAGACTGCTGATTCACTATCATTCAAACGACATCTAAAAACCCACAGAGCCCCTGTTTGTGTTTAGTCCCTATTTGGGCCCTGTACAATGAAGTTGAATTAGCTGGTTAAGTAAGTGAGTTTCACTTTAGTTTGCACCACCCTCAGGTTTTAGTTTAACAGAAAGGTCGCTCAGCTTTAATCCCTCTTTGTTGGTATTGTAACCCCACCAGTCCTACACCACCCAACCCGCTCTGAGTTGGGATCGAACTGGCGACTTTTGGCATAGGAGTCGGTTGCTCTAACAAGATATAACTTCATTTCCCTATGCCCTCTCGAATACAGCCATTGATTATGAAAACTGATTGTTTATTCTCATATAATCAGCCCAGACCTTCATGTGTGGCCTTGTGAGATTTGCTTTACTTGTGACTGTTATAAGGTTTCAGTTTATTGGTGTGTCGATGAAAAAGCCATTAAAGGAACACTCCATCATTTTTTAAATAATTGCTTTTAGGGGTTTTTCACCTTTAATTTGGACAGAACAGTGGGGATTACAGACAGAAATGTGTGGGGAGCAGAGAGAGGGGAAGGGTCAGCAAAGGACCTTGAGCCAGGAATCAAACTCAGGTCTCCATGAACACCATGGTATATGTTGGTGCACTTTACCACTAGGCTATAGGCACCAACACACTCCACCATTTTTTAAAAAAAGGATCAAGTCTCCTTGATTTAAACAGCTGTGTTAATCTATTCCACCGATTTCTTGTTCTGTCAGAGTAAATTTTTACCTTAGCATAATGAATTAAAAAAGAGTTTTGATAAATTTCCTACAAAGCCCAAGTCTTCTGTGGTTACATTGTGTCATCATAACACCAATAAAAAATGAAAAGTTTTTTTCTAGGTTGATTTGACTGGTAACCCCACTGTTACAACACTTGAATGTATTTATCATTATTATATATTATTATTGTTTATTTGTGTGTTTACTGCCCATTGGGAATGATTCTGTTGTGTTTTTCTTTTACTCTTCCAATGTGTTTCACTGCCCGCTCACTAGAGCTGATTGGGCCCAGGTGGTGCTCATCATTAGAGCGTGCTGCACGCTGCTACAAAAGAGCAGTCTGCCTCAAACCAAGGAGAGGTTCACTTCTCCCCTGCTCCAGAATTGTGGTTGTTGCATACGTTGTGGATATTGATCCTGTTGTATATTGAGAGAAGTTTATTAGGCTATTGGTTTCAATTTAATTTCTGTCTTTGGCGAAACTTGGTGTTTCTTTGTATTTGTTTATATTCTTTGTTTTCTTTGTATGCATTGTGGAATTTTACAAGCAGTGTGTCTGTTTTCTTAGTTGTATGATTTAAATAAACTTTTTTTGCGTGGTATTTAAAAGGTAATCATATTGTTTTTTTTTGTTTGACTTTTTAATTTACGAAATGAAGCTGTAGAGAGAGGGTGTCATTTTGTACTTGTTTGTCTGTGTTTATTCATGGTAAGGGAGTTGAGGAAAGCCTTTGTTTCATTTCTTTTCTTCAATCTGAATTAGGTTATTTAGTAATCCTCCTAAGCTAGATCTGTTTTGTTTGTTGTTCTGGTTAATCCTTCTCCTTAAGACTTATGCATCATTTATTGTTTATTGAATAAGAACCAAATAATAAAAGATTAAAAATTTCAAGTTCACTCTTGTGGTTGTTTCACATTTCTGAGGAGAGATAGAAATGTTCCCTCAATTTTTTTGGTTTATTTAATCTATACACAATTTATTAATTTGGTCATCTTTTCCTTAAATTCTAAATATTAATTTTCTTTGTTATTTTCCTTCCCCAACCCTAGACAAAAAGGGGAAGGGAAGTAACATAATGGATTAAAAAAAGTTTTGCGTCATAACACCAATAAAAAATAAAGTTTTTTTTCTAGGCTGATTTGACTGGTAACCCCACTAGAACAAGAAACCTGCTGAATGGATTCAAAAATGGTTTAAGTTTAATTCTGGGAGAGTAATAAAATGAGCCTTTTCCTAAAAAAAAAAAAGGTGGAGTGCTCCTTTGAATATTTACATGGACATGAGTAATATAATGATTTGCCTTAATCTGAATAAGACAATATGATTAAGGTATTTACATGAGTTGCTTTTTGAAAGTTCCTTTTTTGAACCCATTTTACATGTTATAGCACATAATTCAATTAACGCCACTGCGTCACCTCGCTATCCACATTTCCTCTGGAGTTTCATGTCATTTCGGCTGTTTCATTTGGAATTTGTCAACTTTAAGTGCAGTTTGGCACTTTGATTTTCATTCAGGAACATTTCCTGTATGCCCCCGTGAGAAACAAGATGTGAATATGAAAGGAAGAATGTTGCTTTAATGTAATTTGATACCACACACCGTATGGGAAAAAACCTTCACATTTCCCGATGTGTGTGTCTGTGATTCTTCACTGACTCGGTAGGAGTAGAGCAGGGGTCACCAATCTTGGTCATGGAGGGCCGGTGTCCCTGCAGGGTTTATCTCCAACTTGCCTCAACACACCTGCCTGGATCTTTCAAGTATACCTAGCAAGACCTTGATTAGCTTGTTCAGGTGTGCTTGATTAGGGTTGGAGCTAAAATGTGCAGGACACCGGACCTCCAGAAATAAGTTTGGTGGCCTCTGGTGTAGAGAATAGTGTCAAACAGCCGTGTGTGCAAAAAAAAGCAGCAGGAATCCTACATGACTGTAATAGTTTGAATGCGGTGTTTACGTGTCTGTAATGCACTTCAACAATGCTGCTAAAATAAGCATACTCCACATCTTAATTCCATTTCTGTTTAGTTCGATTATGACCTTAATCAGATTAAATTAATCAAAAATGTCTGTTTACATGGTAGAGTCTTGATTGTATTAAAATTATTGATGGATTATTGGTGTCCATGTAAAAGTACTCATTGACACTCAAGAAAGAAGAAAAATGTAAGTTAAGTGTAGAGACACACTGCATGTTCACACTGCATTTTAACACTGTCTTTGGTAAAGTAAAAAAGCCACCGAGGTACCATCTTTTACAGAACTGCAGACGTAAAAAGAACTAATGTGTCAAAGGAGCTGCAGTTACTTCTGTTTTTCTGCACGCACATGTGTGTGAAAAAGTCGGTGTATTTCAAACAAGATATATCACACTCTGAAGGTCATGTCGAAGCAAAAACAAAAATTAAAGGGGCCTTAAGAAAAGGGTCATAGTGAAGTGCCGTTCCAAACTGAAGCCACTTGAAAGAGCTCTTTAAAATGAAGGATTTTGAAAGGTATAATCTGATGGACACTTCAGGGCCAGGCCCCCATGATTCTTTGCACAGAAATGGTTTTTGGCTTGTTTGTTTTTGCAGTTTGTATAACAATGAGCATACATGAGCAACAATAGAAAAATGTACAGTAATATGTTTTTAAACAAAAAGTAAGACATACAAATCTAATTTCAAATATAGGTGCAAATCGAAACAAATTATTTAAATAAAATAAGTTTAAGGCTTTAAAATAATGTAGTTTATTGTTGTCATTTTATTATTTATTATTTCTTGTTGCTTTTATAATTTAAACACACTTTTTGTACATTTAATTGATGTTGGCGGGTTTTTTTTTTTACTGTTTTAAATGGCTATAATTAAGAATTAAGGTCAAAAGACCTCAAACGGAAAAATAAAACTTTTTTTAAAAGCTTTTTTTAATAGCCAACTAGCGGCTAAATGGAAAGACGTGTTTTTTAACCCTTTTAAAAACATTTTATTAATAGCTGTCGTCACTATAACAGTATATATCAGTATCACAAAGTCAATATATTTCAGTCAGCGAGGTTTGTACAGACTTGTATACTGTATATAAAATCTAGGCTACTAAACGTCTACTCTAAACTAAACTGTAATTGTTTCCTGAAGTCATAAAATGGTCTCCAATACCAATTATATTTTACTATATTATTATTTAATACAATCTTAACACTTATAAAACTGTTGCGAATGTTCAGAACTCATGTATTTCATGTACACATCATAGTGTGTTGTGTTGTTTCCTCTTTTCTGTTTTTTCTCCTGCTGGTGGATGCTTAAACTACACATACTGGAAAGCAAAACATCTTTCTTTGTGTGATCTTTACGGAATATGAAGTCAGAGGCTTGGAGACATATATACAATTGCAAATAATCTATTTTTATGATATTTCACCATTTACCGATTTTTACCGAAGGTAATGCAGATGATGGCGCATTAGCTCTCTCTTGTGGCTGAATGAAAACATTACGACCTGATTCATCACTGATACTCTTGTAACATGGTTACACATTACTGTCTTAATAGATTGGATTGTATTTACTGTGCTGGATGCAGGAGAAAAGGGCAAGAAATAAAACCATGATCATTATCTCTCCTTGTGACTGAATATGGAACCACATTCTTTGTTTACTGTCTCACTGTAATTTGAAATGTGTATATTTGTCAACATTTCTTTAGGTATTTAGTAAAATAATATTGATCCAATGCTCTGTGCAGAGGCAAAAAAAATGATAAAGTTTCAAGCATTTATCAAGGCTTGTATTACTTTTGAGCACTGACATTGTTTGCACCCAAAGTGGGAATTAAATTTATGAGCAAAACTGAATATCTTTTTGTTGTTGTTGTTGTTGTTGTCGTTGTTGTTGTTGTTGTTCAGCTCAGTTTCTTGTTTAGGCTATATTTAGCATTATGATAGCAGTTGTTTTTGAGTGTGAAATGCAGTTATTTATTACAATTAATATGAACCTTACCGTTTATATCTGCTTTTATTTATATATGTTTTTATTTTTATGCAAAAAGAGTACAGTTGTTATTTAAAAAATACTTGTATACAATGCACAAAATGTCAGTTACATGGATTGTCAATGAAAAAAAAAAAAAAAAACATGATTATAAACTTGAAGGTAAGACGTTTAAGAATCAATTACAGTAAATAAAGTCATTACTAAATGACAGTTCTGTTTGCTTTCTTATTTTCAGTGAATGTTAATTCAGTTAATGAAATTGTATTTAAATAATGACAAAATTCTTGCATTCCTTTTTTTTGTGTGTAAACAGATTCATAATAACCAAAAAAAATATTGTCAAAATATTGACTGACTTAAAAAATATTATAAATAAAAACAGTTTTATAATTATATTTAGTGAACTTATTTTATTGTATAGCCCGATATCATTTAAGGATTAGTTTGGATTATTTTCAACAGAACTAGAGAATATTTAAATCTGTATGCAAATTTTTCTGACTCTATTTTACTACTCAGATTCAATCTAAAGATGTTTAGTACAAAACTGAAAAAAGCATGATCCAACACAAATTTCACACTATTTGTCTTTATTATTTTTTGGGTTTCATAACAACTGACACATCTTCAAGTGTTTTTATGAAAACAGTTGTTAGAATGTAAACCAGACACCGTATTTGTCCACTAAACATGAGGACAAACCTGAGCAAAACTGAAATGTTTTTAAATAAGATGACAAACACATTAACTTTAAACACATCAACCTTAAAATAAACTACATAACACAGCAGCCACACTATGCATGCACGAGTATTACATTTCTTTGTAAATCTTCCGCTAATAAGCCTATTTGATCAATCCTTTCACCATTACACTGATTTAGTGGTGTAGGTGTAGTGCGTTGACACATGCACTTCAGTGCTGATGGCGACATAAGTTCGATTCCGGCCTTGCGGTCCTATGCCGATTTCAAAAACAGGTAACCACCCATATAAGAAGGTTTCCTTTTTTGGCAATTGTGTTCTATAATGCTCAATGTAAAAACATTTTCTTTTATTTATTTAATTATTTAACCAGGAGTGTCCCATTGAAAGACAATATCTCTTCTAACGGGGGTCCTGGCCAAGATAGGCAGCATAGGACAGATTTACAAATAAAAAGTAATATAAACCATAATCAATTGTTAAAACAAGTGCACACACACACACACACATCACTGCACACGAACCAATTATATTAAGACACTATGATAAACGATATCCAATTTTTAAAAACATTCAGAGGTGTGTGCATAAATCTAAAGTAAATCTAATACTGAGAGAAGTGATTTCTGAAAATGACTAAAACAAATTTTAATTTATTTCAAACCATCATCTGAAAGACACTCACAAGGTGCACAAGTTTACCACCTGTTTTCAGACTAGTAAATCCACACTTTTAAGCCCTTACACAAAATTTGGCCTCTTGAAATATGAAACAGGGGTGGGTCTGGGTTTTGAGAAGCCCTACTCTAAAGGCTCCACATTATGTTACTAAGGACTGAAATTTTATTCCATCTAATTTCTTTAGCAAACATGCTGATGCCATATTGTACACTATACTGTCATAGTCTATTACTGGTATTGCACAGTACCCTCTTTTCAATGATTGTGGACTTGCTTCCAAATCTAGCACTGCCATCTCTTTTTTACTTTCCAAACAATCAATTCAAACATTGACCACCTTCTCCAATATAAATAAATGATCTGTTCTGATCTTAAGCCAAGTCAAACTACAGAGAAAGCACCATTCAGAGGCCCTATTTTAAAGATGTCATCATAAACTTTTTACAAAGAATAGTCCATTATCAGAAATCTACAAAAATACAAAACCCTAAAGTAGTTTGATTCAAGTCATATTCAAACCCCATCAAATAGAAATACAAAATACTTTTATCCAGTTGAAATATGCATTTGAAATGCATACTAAGTGTTTTACATGTATTCATTAGGAACACACGTCAAAACATTATATACAGTTGAAGTCTGAATTATTAACCCCCATTTGATTTTTCTTATTTTTTTTTAAATATTTCCCAAATTATGTTCAATAGAGCAAGGAAATTTTCACAGAATGTCTGATAATATTTTTTCCTCTAGAGAAAGTTTTACTTGTTTTATTTCGGCTTGAATAAAAGTATTTTATTTTTTTTTTTTTTAAAACATTTTAGGGTCAAAATTATTAGCCCCTTTAAGCTAATTTGTTTTCGATAGTCTACAGAATAAACCATCATTATACAATAACTTTACTAGTTACCCTAATTAACCTAATTAAGCCTTTAAATGTCCCTTTAAGCTGTATAGAAGAGTCTTGAAAAATATCTAGCCACATATTATTTACTGTCATCATGGCAAAGATAAAATAAAATAGTTATTAGAAAAGAGTTATTAAAACTATTATGTTTAGAAATGTGCTAAAAAAATCTCTCTGTTAAACGGAAATTGGGGAAAAAATAAGCATGGGGGCTAATAATTCAGGGGGGCTAATAATTCTGACTTGAATCAAAAGAATCAAAAGAAAGGCGCAAGCATTGAATAAAAGCTTCTGACTTTTTGTAAATGATTAGTTTAAGAGCATCAGCATGAATGCATAGACATTTGCATTCATGCTGAAGCACTTAAATTGTGTAAATATAAATCAGATTTAGATAAAAGAAACAAATTCACTTCAAAACATGTCATTGGCCAACAAATGATAAAGCATGATAAAATAATAGGCTCAATGGTGATAAATGAAGTATAACAGCAACACGTTTAAAGCTCAAATGAAAAGTTGAATACCGTAAACAAAAGTTAGCTGATTAACTTTCACACAAAATCAAAGCTATGAGAACCAAACTAAAACAGAGTAACAGATACAGAATGATGTGTAACATTCAGAAAGTGTTTTAATTAACAAGTTTCCATCTTCATCTAAAATCTTTTTACACATGAGTTTAACGGCTGATCAATTTTTTACTTCACTGGACGGATTTTAGATTCAGAAAAATTATTATCTGTTCATACCTGGAGCTTTAAAAGTGCCATATAAAGAAAATCTGAATACACCTAAGCCATAGCTATAATTGCTCGTACATGGAAACTGCCACAACATCAAACATAATAGTTTCCTTGTTTTCATGAAAAGTGTGTAGAACCCAGTGAAAACGGGTCTATTACAGGGTATATGCAGGAAAAGGTAATTTCAATACCTT